GCAGGAAAGAAAACACCATGCTTTATCTTTTCAGTATGGCAATTAACTTCCCCATATTGGTTCCAGCTACAGTTCACTTCTGTTTCAAGGAACAACAGGATTTGATACTAACTCCTTGAACAATATCAAGAATACCCATAAACTTCAGAAAATCAAAAAAGGGACAGGTCTTTTGACTTATAATACAAAATCATCTCCCCTGTCTCAAATCCAAAAGGGTGAACCAGTCATCAGGTCCCAGAGGAACTGACTGCTGAAGGCAATGCATGCACAGCAAAACATCCCCAAGGACTAGAGTAGATTTCAATTGCAACAGTAGATTGTAATGCCAGAGGGCTTTCTATGGCTGAGCCTGAAATTCATTAATGAAAATAAAGGTATTCTGTGTTAGGGAGCACAAAATAAGAAAAATGTGCCAGTCTTAAGAAACTTTTTCAGCCGATCTTTTGAATTAAGACAAGTGTTTGATTGGGTTTTTTTCTTTCTGGATGATTTCAATACATCTACATGAAACTTGAAGATTGTGTTGGTGTGGCTGCTAAATTGCTGTTCTTTTGAATTAAGACAAGTGTTTGATTAGGTTTTTTTCTTTCTTGATGATTTCGAAACATCTACATGAAACTTGAAGATTGCGTTGGTGTGGCTGCTAAATTGCTGAAGACAGTGGTATCCTCAGAATGATAATCCAGAATCCCTTCTGGTGATGACTTTGAGATTCAGGCTCCATTTTCCCCTTGCCACTATTACTTTATCCTGTAAAATAATGACTTTTTTGTGGTAAATACCCTTTTATATGAACACACCAGAAATTGATCTTTCTAAGATGGCTTGCCATACTGGTCAAACTTATTTTTTCAGTTTAGCATACAATACAATTAGTAATCTCTGTGTAGGCAAGTGGCACATTGCAAACATCTATTTGGGGGTCATACTGGTAACATCTTTTTCATGCAAAGAGGGGCCAAAATCTGATCCTTGGATTCAAATCAGAGAAACCATGACTACAGTTTAAAAACTTTGGATTAAAATTTGCTAGCTTTGACACATCACTGACAGTATGTACAAGCTAATTTTCAGTCTGGAATTTGCTTACAGGAAGGTTGATCTGTCCTTCTAATGGAGAAGAGTATGTAAAAATATTAGGCCATTTCTGAATAGACAAATGCCCTAATTATGCATAAATTTACAGGTGTTGTTGAACAGGGTTTCTGGGGTGTGGGGTTTGTCTTTTTTTCTGTTCAGAAGCTTGAAGAAGCATCACTGCAGGCAATATAATCAAGTATCTGTACTAAAATTTTGTGTGGAAATTACCTGTAGCAGGAAGAGAAAGAAAGAGAAATACATTTGTCTTTTATGAAGGTGAAAGCCAAGAACAGTTTAAAACAAAAAAAGTGCAATAAATTGCTTTAATATCTGTTTATTTAGGGAACAGGTCTGTAGTGTAATTTAATATATATTTTCACTCAAATGTGAGGCAAAAAATGGTAGTGTTGATTACCTTGAGGTACCCTAGCAACAATAACATAGCTGCCACTTACACCAGTGTGCCTGATGAAGCACTGTTCTTGCACTCAATTAAACCATCATGCTGACAGGAGAAAAATGGACCCACTTTGTTGCAGACTGTCAAACATGCTTTGCCTTCCAACCTCCATTATTATAGCTAAGTAAAATGTATCAAACTACTTAACTGTGCCTGTCACTGAAAAAAAAAAAAATATGAAAATATGGTTTTAACAAGAAAATTTCTGAATAACCTTCCCAGCTCTCTCTAAACATCAATAATATTTAGGACACATTTCTAATTGTAATAATGAAATGTTCCAAGGAACTTTTAGAAACAGATATTGTATCCTTCTTTCTTATGTGATGCCTTTCTTATGTTTATCAGAAACACTGATTTTCTTCGGCTGAAGAATAATCATACAAGATCAAATTTTTTGTCCCTTTTTGTTATGGCTATATAAAGTTTTCTCATAGCTGGAAAAATCACTGTCTGAATGTAAGGCTATACACCTATATATAGACCCCTCTTTCCTCATCATGCAAACTCTCACTACATGGCAGTCCAGTAAGGACTGATGATAGGAAAGTGGACGTCAAGTCACATCCTTGTGATTCCCAAATACTGCCAAACCACTTGCAGTGTTAAGAGACCGTCACAGAGCACAGTTGCCCTTATATAATGAAAGGCATGAATCTCCCTGCTGAAGGAAAGCTAAATGGTAAAGGTCTCTTTAATCCTGCTGAGCGATGCTCTGATACAGCTGTGTAACTGACTTGCTTTGACATTAATTTAGCTCACTCTTCTTTACGATGCTTTGAGACTGCAAAGAAGAAGAATGTTTTGCCACACAGTTGTCCTCAACATTCTGCCAAGTAACAGTTAGCAGCTAAGCAAAGTGACATCTGTGCATGTGGCAATTGTCTTTAGTCTGAAGCTATTTCTCTTAAATCTAAGCCTGAGGGCTTGAATCATCATTTCCCTGCATCTTGCCAATTGCAGGGTGTTATTTTTACATGCATTTTTGTTTGGAAATAACTACTGAAATGAACAGACACTGAAATAATAAACTCTTTTATCATGTACCATTTACATTTTTATTCTAACTTTTTTCTACACTAATTAGAGATGTCTAAAAATTTGAAAAAGAATAATTTAATGGGTCTGATTCAGTATTCAAAGCTTTCTAGAGTTACTTCCATTGAATAAATTCAATTTTCACTGCATCTTCATTATTCCAAATAATAAAGTTAGTTAAATTTTTTTCCTGTGTGAAGCTAAACTTTTTACACTGAAACATCTCATGTCATTCTGATGCCATCCCACCTGGGCTTCAGATGCTCCTCCAGATCCTGGCATTTGTTTCCATAGGTTCTATGGCATGTCCATGAAGCCCATTCACATGTAATGAATATGAAAGTGCATCTAAAATAACACTAGATAAATAAGTTAATGTGAAGTTAATGTAGCTGCATTTTCAATTTTGCCCCACCCTTACATGCTCAAGTAATACTTAGCATTGTCTTTACTTGTCGGGATGAAAGATAACTATGAAACTAATATGTTGTCATCACATTTACTAATCCTCCAAAAAAGGGTTTCTGAATAAATTATTCTTAGCTATAAAAAGAGGAAATAATCCTTATTCTCTAATAGCTACAATTTTGATTTTTGGAAGCCAATAAGTTTGACTTCCATAATTAACTGATGACACCTCAAAAATATTAATAAGGAAATTGATTTGTTAACAGAGACAATATATGGTCAGATCCTCAAATTACAGAAATTAGTATAGCACCATCAAAGTCATTACGAAAATTTGAAAGAACTGAGAATCTGACTTTCATATGTAGTATAGGGAATTTGTCAGAAACTTATGTACAAAGAATATGAAGACCTCACATTTGTATATACAAATAGGTAAGACATGAACAGTAAGGTGAACTAAATATATCTTTTTACTTTGAGTTTATCAAGACTTCAATGCCAAATTTAGCATACATATGTAGACATATAGTAATTATGCTGATCTTTCATTTTACAAATAGGAATTAGAAAAAAAAGTCATGCATAGTCAGTTTACAAAAGATTTGCTTGGAGGAAGATAAATGCAGGTCAGAAATTGTGTTTTGGCACCATGTCAGTCATGCACAGAAATTGAATGTCCTTACTGCACTCAGAGTAAGATGCTTCTGTCCACGTGACAAGAGTGAGAAGCATTGTGTTTAATTCCCAAATAGTTCTAAACTTGTGCATGCAGAAGTTGCTGCCTTGTTTAAAAAGTGACCTTTAAGAAAAAGATATTTAAAAAAATCTTTATTTTTTTTTCATTGATAGAGAGCAGTTCCTTGATGAACTTGAAAAGCAGCCAGGAATAAGCTTTTTCTTTTCTTGTGAGTTGAAAAAAAATACAAAATTATACAGAATAAATAGTAAATATAAATCTAGGAAGAATTCATTGCAAAAATAAACCTGCAGTGTTCTACTTTTTTTTTTAGCCTATTTTTTCCACAACACTTTAATTTCTTCTAATTTCAGAAAATATATTTTTGTACAAACAGCTAAACAGTCTTATTCTTGCTCACGTGTGTGTATTGTTGCAGCTATTCTGTCTGAACGTTGCTTTTGGGTACAGTGGGAAAAGACCTGTATATGCACTTGAAAGTTCCTAGCCACAGCAAACTCTTTTTCTCCAAAAATATTTGAAGCCAGCACAGAAGTTATTTATATACACATGTATAAAAAAAAATCAGACTTATTAAACACAGTAACATATTTACAGCTGATTCTCAGTAGCTTTTCAAATTGCCCAGGGTTATGAGTTTAAACACCAGTGATCACAATATTTTATAGCAGCAGCTCAAGAAAAGATTGTCCAAACTTAGGTAAAGCTATCAGATAGGGAAAGTAGCAAAAGGCTTGCCTTTTTCTTCGCTGAAGATGCTGGGTAAACATAGTTACATATTTTTCCTTCCACATACTGATACAGAATGCACATGATGAAGTTCTGTGTACTTAAATATTTGCAGGCTCTGGGTGCATACACAAAAATATTTTCTTTTTTCTTTCTTTTTTTTCTTTTTTTTTTTTAACTGACATTTAATATTACAACATTTCAACTCCTTTCATATTTATTATAAGGGTATGTTAGGTGTAGTTGTAGACAGTCGTCATGTATGCAGTGCATGTACTAACCTAACAAAGACACTCTAACCTTATAAACACGAACACAGGTGTTGGTATTTGTTTTCATTTTTAAGGAATCTAATTAAACTGAGGGGAAAAAGAAAGAGTAAAGGTAACAAATGCTTTTCCACAGGTTGGGTACAGAACGAGAGTGGCATACACACCCTTTTAAAATTATGAGGAATAGTGCAATAAGCAATCTTCCTCCCACAGTTCAATCACACAAAGTTCATGTTTAACTCAGAGTGAGACATATTGCCTGCACGCAACCCCATGGCTTCCCACAGTGATCCCTGAGTTTTTCTTTGCTAGGATTACTGCTGTGCTTAAGTTCTGACTGTTGACATGTTATTATAAGGCACTTTTATTTACAACGGTTGCAACCTAAAATAGAATTACAGAAACTCAGCCCCAGCACAATGTATTATCACTTCATGTTTGCTGCTCCAGGACTTCCAGATAGTCAGGCTCAGCATGTAAATTAGCCTTGAGTTCAAAATACTCATTTTTAGTTTGTTCTAAAAAAACCTTTCTTGGCCTGGAGTACATGAGTGTCTCCATCAATTTCAGCTCTTCATGTGTTCCAGGATAATGAACTTCCATGTCAGGCTGGAGCTGGACAATATTTTTTCTTAGGTACTCTGTGATCCCTAGTTGCTGCAGTTCTCTCTCTTTTTCAAGAATGTTTCTATACAAGCAGCTAGCATCCTGAAAAGACAGAAATTCAGCAGATTGATCTGTAGCCTTATATTTGACATTTGGACCTGTAAGTGGTGAACTGTTCTCTCTTTCCAGGAGGCTTCGGCAGAGATATTTGGAATCATTAGCTTCCTTTTCACTTCCCTCCTCCTGTTGTTGCTCGGTATGCTTAGGGCTGAAGGATGGGCTGCGGTAGACCTGAACCATGGGAGTAACTATCCGTTGCTCATAGAGGGTTGCAGCTGGGCGCTCTGTTGTGTGGTGCGTTGTCTTATGTCCGTACATGCTGTACTGAAGGTGGACTGGGCTACTATCCCTCATTTGTTCATCTGCTTGTTTC